AAGACAACATAACGGATTTCATGACGAAGGCGATCAATGCTGATAAATTTACTTGGTGCCGATCATCTTGTGGCCTGTCAGAGACGTAAGCAATGATGGTACAAGGTAGAAAGAATAATGTGAAGATATGATTGAATCAAATCTTCAAGTGGGAGATTGTTAAAAGTCAGCGCCGAAAGGTGCAAAATTAATGCACTGAAAAGAAACTGGAAATTGTTGATTTTTTTCAACAATGGTAAAATCTCATTTTTAGTCATTGTAATTTAGAGTATTTATAAATTAGTCCTTAAGCTTCAACTATAAATACCCTAGCTCATTTAGCTTCAAAATCATCCCAAAGCATTCTAGCTTTCTTCCAATACTAGAGAATTTGGAGAGTTTCTTGAGAGTTGTTTTCTCCTTTTTATCAAGAGAGAATTATCATTGTTTTCTCCTTGGTAGATCGAGCGAAGTTGTAATTCCTATTTTCTCATAGTGAAATTCTTCTACCGTTGCCCGTGGTTTTTACCCTATATTATTTAGGGGTTTTCCACATAAATTTTTTGCCTCTTTTATCTTCATTTTTATTTTCTCAAATTATTAGTTGCGATTTTACTCTATCCGATAGCCGTCTTCTACAACAGTTGCTTCGAACCCTGTAAAGCTTTATGCTATATTGGTCCAATTTACATTTTATTGAGAAAGTGTAACATTTTATATTTATTATATAAATATATTCTAAAATTAAATTTAAATTTAAAATATTTTTATTATATAAACTGAAAATAAATAGAAAGTTTTACTGAAATTTGAGCCGGTTTAGACAAAGAGCCGACCCATATGAGACGGGACAAGAAGCAAAGAGCAATGAATAGAGTTGGTCCGTAGAAAAGATTGGTTCAATATTAAACCTATTGAATTATTATAAAATATTATAATATTGTTTTAAGATAATTATTAAATTTATTAAACTATCATAAAATTATCATAAAATTTTATAAATTAATTTCATTAATTTATCAAATTAACACCTATCACATAATTGGATTTGGTTTAGGGTTTAGGGATTTAAGTTTAGGGTTTAGGGTTCATGGTTTAGAGTTTATAGTTTAGGTTTTAGGGTTTAGGGTTCATTACAAATACATTAATTAATCGACTTGGTACCGATTTATGAGGTAAGTACAATATAGTATCTTGATATTAAATGCTCAAACCCTTGATATTTATGATATTTGAACCCGAACCCTCAAAATATAACAACAATTTAAAAAAATAGTTATTAAAAATATTATCATTCGAAATATATTAAATATTTGTCATTAGATAAATAATTTTTTTATTAATTTAAAATAAATATAAGAATATTTATTCAAGAATAATTTTTAACCATTTTCAATTTTTCTATTGTTTGGTGGTTTTTCTTATTTCTTATTTTATTTTTCTACGTTGTCAAGTACTTGTGCAGTAAAAAGTTAAAAAATAAAGAAAAAAATCAACCAAACACTTGTAATCTAACATGTGCTTAATTAAATAAGCTTTTATTTTTCTTTTAGTAATATACAATGTAACAATTGGACTTGAGATGGTTAATTAAAAAAATTAAAATTTGAGGGTAGTTGTATTATAGAATTTTTAATATATTTTTAAAATTTTATAATTATCAATAATGTATTTTTAATATATTTTTAATAATGTAATTTTAAAAAATCTAAAATTATAATATAATATTTTTTTCGAGTTGCTCACGAGCTTTTCGAGTCGAATATCGAATAGCTCGTTTCGGCTCGTTAAAAACTCGAGTCGAGCTCGAGCTCGAGTCGAGTCCATTCGATCCGAGTATTTATCGAGCCTTGATCGAGTCGATCTCGAATAGCTCACGATCTATCTCGTCTCATTTACAGCCCTAGTAATAGGATGCCATCTCCACATGATATTCATGATATACCCATGAGCATTACTTTATCATATCAAATGATGATTTTAAAATCGTTGTGAGGAGACTGACTTAATTTATAAGGAAGTCTCTTTCGATGATTTTAAAATGAAAGCGTATCCCAAAAGTGAAACCCCTAAAATTTGACCTCACCTAAAATTTGAGAACTAAAGAAAAAGAAAGGTTCGTCTATTTAAATTCATCGAGAAAAGATCGTTAGAATTTATCTAAAGCCCGATCTCGGCGTCTTTAAATAATCGAATATCCTTATTCTTTCTAAAAGGATTGGCAATTTCTAATTTAAATTGATTTATTTTACCATTGTTCATGCATTTTGATTCAACAATGAATTTTCCAATGGAATTATAATATTTCTTTATTTCGATTGGAGTAATAATTGATTGCCTCAAGGTATGAGGGGTCGTTTCTTCTCGATAGGAAATAATTAAATATTATTAAGTTTTGTTCTAAATTCATAAAGTATTGTTTTAAGGGATCTTAAACTAAATTAAATTCGAACTTGTAATTTTCATCGCAAAGACAATTAATTAATCGACTAGGTACCGATTTTGGACGATGTGGGGGTGTTAATCCTTCCCCACATGTAACCGACTCCCAAACTCAATTTTCTAGTACGCATACCGTAAAGTTGTTGTTTTAACTAAAATCAATATTTTTATTAAAGTGACAAATATGTTTTTGGGTGCACAATCACACCCTAATCAAAGATTGGTGGCTACTCCTCTAACCATATTTTATTTTATTTAAAGGGAATCCCAAAATGTGTTTTTTTTTAAATATGGAAACGATTGTCTCGAAAAACGTTTTAGTGTCTAAACTATTTTTTTCTAAAAACAGGTGCATAATGTTTTTTCCGTTAACATTTTAGGTGACCGAGCGTTACCGTTGTTATAAATTTTCGTTAAGTGACACATGTCATGTTATGGTAATCCCCTAAATCTATAAATTCCTAGACATAAATCCTTCAAAACCTTAAAACGAAATCTTTCATTTACACCAGTTTGGGTTTTCGATCGGTTGCGAAAGTATGAGGATTTTAGTGGTGGGTGGTTGGCCAGTCACACGTCGTAGGATGTACAGCCGATTAACGACAGTGGTGACAGCCGTCGGTGACAGTGGGAGTAAAATTAAAGTTTTAAAAGTTTTTAATTTTTTTAAGATTTGAAAAAATTTAAGTTTTTTTCTTAAATTGTTTTTTATTGTAAATAAAAATTTCAAAATTATCAGAACATGACATGTGTCACTTAACAAAAAATTTTAACGGCGATTAATGTTCGGACACTTAAAATGGTAACGGAGAAAGACACCTATTTTGAGCGAAAAATTCTTTAAACACTAAAACGTTTTTCAATGCATTGTTCGGGCACTTATTTTTGTGTTAAGCTTTTTTTCATATAAAAAAGGTTATCCGAAATAAATAATTGCACTGGTGTGGTAATAATCCAAGTTATTTTGATGCGTGTAGAAAGTAGGAACGGGGAATTCCTGCCTTATCGAAAAAGAAAAAGAGAAGCATGAAAATCACATGCGAATGTAACTATTATATATGGTCTCTAAGAAGAAACTTGTGGGAAATTTTGACTATAAATACGAAGTATATAGCAGGAAATGATATGATTTGATGCAATTAGAACAAATTCAAAATTGTAGTAATAACAAAAGTTATCATGATCTTTCTAGGAATTAGGAAGGCATATTTGATCCTAAAAAAATAAGAAGAGAGTGTGAAAAAGGCAACACGATGACCGGAGTTTATAAACGACCGAGAACTAATATCTACAGTAGAAGTAATGGACGGCTGCTATGTATTTAGGGATTTACTAAAATGAAAATAGAAAGGAAATAATTTATTGAACTTGTATTCTTCAATCCAACGGTATTACAAAAGCTTAGCTCTTTAACCCACTGTATTAGTGGGTTTTTATACTCAAAGATTCAATTTCAACAATCATTCAATATTATCCAACTGAATTAATAACTTGATAATTAACTACTTATAGTTAACTTAATCTAATTCTCTAACACTCTTCAATTCTTCGAATCCTACCACCGTCACTCTCGGTACCTACATAAATCCCAATTGGATTTTAGGTATGTACTGGTCTGGGAGAATCACTCCTGACTAACTTTTTGTAACAAAAAAAACACTCTTCAATTCATCAATGTCGACCCAATAATCTTATCTATTTCTCTCTCGACCTCAACATTTTGATCTTCTGCTCAGGACCCTCACTCCTGACTTAAACTTTTGTAACAAAAAAAAAAAACAATTCAATTCATCATTGTCGACCCAATAATCCTATCTATTTCTCCCTCGACCTCAACATTTTTTTCTTTTGCTCAAGACCCTCAATTAATAACTGTAGCTCAATAGCCAAATTAGATATGTTGAAATTCACCAACAATCAAGATGATGATTTTTTTCTTTCATACAAATTTTACGTGTCACATTTTAACGGTTCCCAACTTCTTTAATACGAAGAAAAGTAAAATTTATTAAATATAATTATTTTATTTTATTCCAGAGACAAAAATTGTACTATAAATCTTTTGGATTTGAGAAAATCATTTTTATTCGTTATTGTATATATTGTTATTGAAATTAAGTTGTCGTTTTTCAACACCGCAAAAATGGCATTCAAAACCTTTAAATTGTGAGTAGCAGTTCTTGTCTCCGCTTCTCTATTGCATAGCTAGTTGTTGTGTACAAGAACTAGTAAAATAAGAAACAAGAGAAACATTAAAATCACATGCGGATGTATATACATTAATAATTAAAATAGATGATATGAAACAAGAATAATCAATGATTGGATACATTAAGATAAGCTCTCACGATTACTTCATATCTTCGATAAAGATTGTCTCCATCTCCCAAGAAATTTTCCTTAGTACATGTTCGATAGAGTTTCAAGAAAATATTGAATTGACAAGTTGCATACATTTCACGCACCTCTTTTTAATCTCAGTTCTCAAGTCAAATAAGGGAACCTCAAGTAGCCTATAAATTTGGGCACCCTGGAAATGATTTCAAGACAAAACAATCTGATTCATAGGAAAACTAGAAATGGATAGATCAGTAATGAGCTTAAGTAGTCTTTTGGTGTTAGCTTGTTTGGTTGGTTATGGCACAGCACAAAGCGTTCAAAATGTGTCTGCTCATTGGGTCGACTTCTTTGCCAAGGAGAACGACTGGGACATGAATAAAGCTAACGATGTTTACTGCAAGATATATGATGCCGATAAGCCCTACGAATGGCGCAGCAAATATAATTGGACCCACTTCGGTGATGTCGCCGGTCTTTCGATTGACGAAGCTTGTGGCAAGTGCATCCATGTAAGTAACGCTTTCAACAACTTAGTTACTCCGATTTCAATTGAAAAAGAAAGAAAAAAAGAAGCGCATATTCATCAAGTTTTCATTACCGATGCAGGTCACAAATAGAGCGATTGGCTATGAAACAACAATGAGAATCGTTGGCCCAACCGGACATGGCCTAGAGTTGGATAAGCCGGTGTTTGATCAGCTCGACAGTGATGGGCAAGGCCAAGATGTAGGACACCTTATTGTGAGCTATAAGTTTGTGGATTGTGATCCTACACCACCAGGTCTTGGCGAGTCTAATGTCCGAGCTGATTATTCTAAAGACTACAATCCTATAGAGAATGATTGGACCTATCCTTCCCATGCCGAGTGCGCCATCAAGGATGGCGGTAAACCTGTCAAAACTGTTTTTTTCTTAAAGAGCGAGATTTCAAAAACCACGTCGTTTTTAATTATTCTCTTTACGATTGAATTTTTAATTAAAAACGATATGATTTTAGAAAACCTCTCGTTTCGAAAATTTGGAAATTCTTTTACGATAAAAAACAAATATGGTTCGAGGAGTCGCCACCAATCTTTGATTAGGGTGTGATTGGGCACCCAAAAACGTTGTCATTTTAAATAAAACTTAATTTTAATTAAAACAACAAATAGTGGTCTACATTACCAGAAAATGAGTTCGGGAGTCGGTTACGTGTGGGGAAGGATTAGCACCCCCACAACGCCCTAAATCGGTACCTAATCGATTAATTAATGTCTTTGCAACGAATTTTACAAGTTCAACTTTAATTTAATTTTTTATCCTTTAAAACAACAAAAATGTGAATTTTATAACATTCAAAACCAACGAAATAGGTTAAATTAAAATTATCAAGCCATTAGAAAGATAAAGAATATTCGATTATTTAAAAATATTGAGACCAGATCTTTAGGTCAGTTCTAACGACCTTTTCTCAACAAATTTAAATAGCCGAACATTTCTTTTTCTTTCACTCCCAAATTTTAAAGTGAAGAATCAAAATTTTTTAGTGACAATGACGGGATACACTTGTAATTTAAAATCGTCAAGAACAACTTTCCTGTAAGTTAAGAAAAATCATTCTAACAGTTTTAAATTAAAAGATTATTACCCTTAATCCGATTATGTGATCAAGTTGAGTTATGCACGTAGGGCTATCATGCAAATCATACAAAAATGATGTCATGCAAAAATTAATTAAACAAACATTAAGATTAAACATATCATTCAATGTGACATTTTAATACAAAAATTCTATTAATATTTTTCATAGCTATAAATTATAAACTATATATATATATATATTAATATGTAATGCTCAAATGTGACTTAAGTACAACAAATAAAAACATAACATCTCAAATTATACGTTTTAGGAAATAAATATACTCATTAAAATAGGGACTAAATAATATTGAACACAACTCTACTGGCTTTATTACAAATAAAATAATAATTTGGGTAAAAACTAATATTATACTATAATAAATCATGAAGCTAAAACAAAACAGCTTAACATTATAAAGGATTAATATCGAAATAAGCCCTAAACATTTAGGATTAAAAAGAAACATGCAAGAATTAAAAATCCTAATGTCTAAACAAGCAGAAACTAAATATATTACTAATTAAGGACTAAAATAAAAAGTGCGCAATATATGGAGTCAAAATTAAAAATAGGAAACATTTCGATTTGAGGACTGAAATGAACTAGAGTGAAAACTAGCATGACTCTTACATAGATAAACCCATTCGGACAAACGTGGGCTACTCTAGTTCCAAACAGAACGATGTAGTTTCAATTAAATAAACCTAAATCTAAAATTGAAACTTAACCTAATAACTAAAACATAACTCAGCCGCTCCTCACTTCTAAGCCTCCCTCTTCTTCTTTGTTCGAGAGCTTCAAAGCTCCCTAGTCTCGCAAACCACCATTCAACGTCGCCGGTGATCTAGTCTGACCAGGCGAAAACTAAAGCGTCTCTTCCTCGTTTAACCCCTACAACCGAGTGCCTAGAAGCCCTAATCTGACCCCTAACACGATCAAAGGCCCCAACTTTCCACTTTCGGTGACATGGGACCATGGATTCTGACGATGAATATTCACATAGCAAGGTAAGTTAGATCGAGACACCCCCCGTTACTCTTACTCTTTTTTTTTTTTTTTAAAAACAAATCTAAAACTAACTTATAATCTACATGCAAGCCTGGATTTGAACCTTTGAGTCCTTGGACTCTCCAGTTTCCTTTTCCGACGTTCGACCCCCACAATCCTGAACTTTCTTGACTCTGGTGACTATCAAAAAGACCCCAATTAAACTATTTTACTTCCTTTCTCTATTTGCTTATTTTTTGCTTCAGATTTTGAGTACCCTAATGACTACTGATGATGATGGGTTTCGATTGGTCATTTTGAATATTGACTTTGGTTCTTTCTTGTTTGTTTCGGATATGGGAAAAAATATGTTACAATTTTTTAGAAAAATTATCATTCAATAACAATGACAAACATCTAAGCAGCACAAGTTACACAAAACAATTCAAAGTGTTACTGCATAAGAGTCTTATTTGTTTTAGTGCAAGAAATGTTTTTAACAACATAACTAAAGCAGAACAACTTACAAAGCACAAAATGAAAGTGTATTCTTCCTCGGGTGTAGTTCAATCCCTGAGAGAATCAATGACAGCCTTGATTTTACCATGATACTTCTGTTCCCATTTTAAGAAAATAGAAACAGAAGATATCTCTTTGAGCAGCAAACGTTACCCAAGTATCTTCCCAATCTTGGCAGCGGCCGCAACGCACCGGGTAGATTCCTCCTATTTTTCGTTTCTTGTGTTTGTTAACTTCTTCCCCCCTTGGTTCCTGAATCCTCCCTCTTTTTTATCACCAAATCCCATTGCATGTTGTTGGATTAGGTAGAAGTAGGTGAATTATTTCTCTGATTTGGTGAAGTGAAATCCCGAAAGTTTAGGGATTTTCGGTTGCTTTTTTCTTTTTCTTTTTTTTTTTGACTTGGATGATAATTTTGGTGATTGATTGGTGTTTGTTGTGGATGATTTGTGCAGTATCGGTATCAAAACTGGCATGATTGGCGGCAGCAGCTAAACATATCAATTCTGGATTCGGGTCACACTTGGGGTTCGAGTTTTAATTTCTTCAAGACTGTTGTAATTGGTCTTTGTAGTTTGGGCCTGTAAACTTTGTAAAAAAATAATATTAATAATAATTATAATTTATAATAATAATAATTATAATACAATATTTATTATAATATAATATTTATTTCTCGGACAAAAACGGGTGTCTACAGCTGCCCCTCTTTGCTCATTCTTGTGTTAACAAGAATAAAGCAAAGATAAAAATGACAACGCGTTTTTGTTCCGTTCTATATCTGTGCTTTAAAATTTGATAAGTGATCCGCTCCACCCTTTCTGCTGGGGAAGTCGGACTCGAAATCGATTTGTTTCACTACTCTTTGGTGAAGGCTTAGGATTGATTTGCTTCACTACTCTTTGGTGAAGGCTTAAAATGGCCCGGAGGACTTCATCATCATGCTTGGAAGGTTTATTGATGGATTTTCTTCACTACTATTCTGTAAAGGCTTAAGATGGATTGCTTCACTCCTCTTCGGTGAAGGCTTAAGATTGCCCGGAGGACTTAATCATCATGCTCGAGAGGCTTACTGATGGATTTGCTTCACTACTCTTCTGTGAAGGCTTAAAATGGATTGCTTCACTCCTCTTCGGTGAAGGCTTAAGATTGCCCGGAGGACTTAATCATCATGCTCGGGAGGCTTACTGATGGATTTACTTCACTACTCTTCTGTGAAGGCTTAAGATGGATTGCTTCACTACTCTTCGGTGAAGGCTTAGGATGGATTGCTTCACTACTCTTCGGTGAAGGCTTAGGATTGTTTACTTCACTACTCTTCGGTGAAGGCTTAAGATGGTTTGCTTCACTACTCTTCGGTGAAGGCTTAGGATGGCCCGGAGGACTTAATAATCATGCTCGGAAGGCTTACTGATGGATTTGCTTTACTACTCTTCTGTGAAGGCTTAAGATGGATTGCTTCAATCGTCTTCGGTGAAGGCTTAAGATTGCCCTGAGGACTTAATCATCATGCTCGGAAGGCTTACTGATGGATTTGCTTCACTACTCTTCAGTGAAGGCTTAAGATTGACTTGCCCCAATCGACCGATTCGCTTCTTCATACACAAAAATATTTGTTTTTCTTCTACATCTGATGGTCATCACTTCAGAGTAATTCTTCTTATGTGGATTAGACCTCTCAATTCTTCAGGGTATCCTTCTTTAAACGTGACTCCTTACGTTTGAGGTTTGAAATTTTCCTTTCAACTTGTTGGGCTTTTGACATCATGAATCTTCTCTTTTCACTGAAAGATCTGTCAAAACCATGTGTTTATGCATGAAACACGAATGCAATTAAAAGTATTAGTGTAATACATTTTCTTTTATGCAAATGATGTTCTCATGAATGCATAAATGTTGATTCAAACTTCATTTGTCTCCAAAGTGGCGAACTCATTCTTCGTCTACTTGATCATTCCTTTCCAGGGTCGGCTTTATATACTCGTGTAGCAACTCATAGTTTTCAACTTGCATTTTTTGACGAGCCCTTTGATCTTCTTCTATCTTCTTGTCATCTTTGTTTTCTTTCTTCATTTCGAAGAAAGTGTTTTCTCTCTCGACTTCTTGCTATGGTCTGAAATAGGACTTTGTTGTCCCATTTTTGGAGACTATGTATATGATTACGCCAAACTTCATAAAGATCAATGTGATATCAGCATCCATTCTGATTTGACTCTTGCAGCACATCCCAAGAACGATCTACCCCAATTCTTCATGTCACCACATCATTTCTCATTTTAACCTTGGAGTTGCGTAGGACAACCTTCATCTTGGGCAATAGAAACAACACATGATCGTTCGTAAATCATTTGACAACATATTCATCTTTTCATGCGGCTTTTGCCCATATCTTCCAATCGGATAAGCTCTTCACATAGCATTCAGAGTTTTTGTTTGGTATTACAAGGATACCAAAACTCAGCGGAAATCACAAGAGTAATGCAACTGGTGATTGACAAAATGATCGTATACAGTAAACCCCACTGTTTCACCATTTTCACTCTTCATATACTTCTATCCCATTGGAACTATTTATTCAATTCAATGATCTTTCCACAGGTTGTCATAGATGCCCCACATTAATACCTCTAGCTGAAACAGGCCTTCACTTGTGCCCCAACGTTATCTTATATTGGTACGAGTCTTCAAAATGCCCCAACGCCTCAAATTGTAAGGCTCATTCTCAATGCCTTCTTAGTTTGAATCTTGTCATCTCAACATGATGTGGGTTCAGTCATGCCCCAACATTATCTTATACTTGTACGGGCCTTCAAAATACCCCAAAACCTTAAATTGTAAGGCTCATTCTCAATGCCTCATTGGTCTGAATCTTGTCATCTCAACATGATGTGGGTTCAGTCATGCCCCAATGTGGGTATTCATGTCTCCCTTCGTACCAAAATCTCTTGACTTTGAATGCTCAAATTCTAGTGCCGCTACACAACAGTATAGCCGAATATCTTGAGGGCTTCTCTTCATGTTTCCCTAAACACTTAAGAAGTGATCAATTCTTCTAACAAATTATCTTGCACTGATATATAAGTTGTAATATATGATTCTTCTGAATGATGAGACCATCTGCTTCAAGATTGTGGAATGCTTCACGTTCTGACATCGCTTATTCTTTTTCTCAAATAGAGGCACAATGAGCATCACCAACTCCAAGAACCTTTCACATTTGAACTGTCCTGTTTAAAAATGTTTTTCCCCTTTCTCTTATTTTAGGGAACAAATAATGAAAGAATTTATAAAACATTACCCCTTAATTCAGGCTCACAATCAAATCAAATCATAAACATGAATTCACAGAATATCAAGAGAATCAATAGCTCTTTAATGTTTTCAGGGTTATATCTCTTTGAAAAATGTCAAAATTGAGGGGTTGACTTCAGGTTGGCTTCCTATTTTCTAAGGTTTTGACCACCAAAATGTCATTTCTTTCTTGATCATTGTGAACATCGCAACATGCCCATCTTTCTTGGCTTGGTATTTTAATCGGATGCGGACAAAATGACGCAACTAGCATAATCAATTACTAGACTTTCTAGAACACTTCTATTTTAGTTCTCTGAAATATTCCATTTGTTCAAGCTCCATAGACTCCTCTAACAAAGGCAGTGCAGAAATATCGATCTAAAAATGATATTCCTGAGTGCTTATGTGAAGTTGACTATAACAGGTGTTCCTTAACTCCCTTAGTTTATCTTTACCGAAACTCCTTATTCATAAATTTGATTTAATTTGCCATTGTTTGGCTAGCTGAAATCAGCTTTATTGTAATTTGTCTTTATCGGGCTAGCTAAAGGATTCATCTCATCACAAAGTCTTTAACTTGACAATCACAGTGGAGCATACACCGAATTGCCAGGTGCCCGATCAATGTCATGGTTTGAATATAATCTATTCATAAAGCCAGGGCTTTCGAGTTTCCTCTATAACCAATTGCCTTAGCGGAATAGCTCAGCTTTATTGTATACATATAATTACATTCTGGGTATACGGATTCAATTTCTTAAGCTTGTCAAGAAAAACCTGTCATAGTCTAGGTGTTGTTGAAAGTCAGAAAATCTCATCGTTAGAGTTCAATTTCCAAGCAACTGACCTAAACTAGATTCACCTACTCGACTATTCCATCTGTAAAGA